TTTTTTTTCTTTTTTCTGTCATCAAAAGTGAATATTTGAACATACAAGGTGTTCCAAAAATGCACAGGGAAATTTGAGAGGAAGATTCCTCATCAAAAAAAAATGAAAATTCCTATAAACTTGAAAACTTTTAAAAAAAAATGTTTTTTTTTGTAATTATCTTAAATACCCTGTAGCTGACTTTCTTGAAATTTATCAATGTTACTTCTAGTAATAATGAGACACCTTATCGAAAATAATTGAGAGAAAAATGTACGCCTCTGACTTTTCTTGAAATCTTTATATATTTTTTAAGATAATACAACTAAAAATACAACTTTTTTTCTCTTGTATCATATGCCTATTTAGAACTGTTTTCGAGAAAAAAATTAAAACCAATTCACTACAGATCTTTATACCCTGGTTAAAAAAACTTAAACAAATTCCATTTCAATTTGCAACAAGAGTAAATAATTACTTGATAACAATCTAAAACAGTGACGTTCAATGCTACCTACAGCAAATTAAAAAAAAATAATGGTATTTAAGATAATTACAAAAAAATATTCAGTTTTAACAATTTGGATGCCTTTCCATCCAGACCCATTTTTATTAGTTATTTTTTATACAAGACGATAAAATGGTATTTTATCGTGGCCCGAAAAGAATTAATTTCGGGAGACGTGTATAAAACAATATTTTTTCCATAGCGAGTTATGTTTTAAAAAATATTCAGAAATTATTATTTCAAGGAATTTATTACGAGTAGATCAAATATTGTGCTGAGTTGGCGTTGGTTTCGATGTAATTTGACAAATAAATAAACCTGTCTCTTTAGTTGTCAGTTTTGAGTCAATATTTGTTAATTCTCTTTCGTGTCGATTGCTGATTGAATTCGAGCCAGAAATGGCTCAAAACGAAATAGGTAAATTACCAACAGATATCACAAAATATCCCCCTTTAGAACTTTTTCTTTAACGGCCATAAGCGGGAGTAAAAGACCAACCGCCCGAACAAACACTAGAGGCGCCACCGGTCATCAAATGGTGTAAAAATTGCGAAAATTTAATCATCTAATTTTGACACAAGGGGTCGCGCTTAACTTTTTCAATTTTAATTCAATATTCATTATTTTCAAACTATATTATTAGACTTTGTTGTATTTTGTGAATGTATAAATGTTTTCTTAGTATAAAGTTGCATTACAGTAATTTAAATTATATTACATACATATTTAATTATGACATACAGGGTTGTTCACCACATACGACACGGAGTTATTGTAGCTAAACGATGAGATTTTTACAAATTGTAAGTTTTGGGTTCGATGAAGGACTATTAAATTTACAATTTAAAATAATTTTACAAGATACAGAGTGTCCCAAATAAGTAAAAAAATATCAAGTTGTATTTTTTTAAATGGAACACCTGTATATTATTACATTTTTAGTTTCTACGATTAAAATAAAGGTAAATTTGATTAAGGTTTATTATACTTAAACCTTACCGTTTTTGAAATATTTTCAATTTTGTTGAAATTGCAGTAAAATTTTAGGCTTCATTTCTCCAGAGTATCAAAGTTTTAATACTAAATATTTACTGAAGTTTATTTACTGATCAGTTATTGTGTTGCAATAATAAAATAATACTACCTTATACAGAGTGTCTAAAATTTATTTTAAATAATTATTATGCTTCAAACGGCAATAACATGTTTAATTTAAATGGAACACCCTGTATATTTTTACGAAAATCAGATGCACAATTTAATTGTCTATCAAATTATATTATACCATTTTTTACCTATCTCTTTAAGTTTCCGTAGAAAATGCATTTTCTTGTAATTTAGAACTTATTTATCAATATACCCATGGACTATTGACATTTTAGATTATTTTTAACGATGTACCAAATTTTTGTAAAAAGTACAGATACTAATATTGTCGATATAATTCGTTTATTTCATTAAAAAAAAAAAAACTGTTTAAATATTTGTTAAGAGGATCAATTAATATGATTCCAGTATTCAAACTACATTAACTGACTGTTTGCGTTGATTAATAATAATTGCTCCAAATACTAAAAAACTGCAGATTTTGTGGGCATTAGACAGTGTGATAAAAAGTAACACCTTAAAATGATATTTAATTTTTTAATAAATGCTTATTTATAACAACAGAGACTTTAATTTGATAACTTATTATTATATTGATTTCTGACTCAAATCCACATTTATTTATAATAATTTATTAACGAACACAATTAAGTATGTAATTAATTAGTATATGGGCGGAAATAATGGTGTTATATTTAATTAATGGTATACTCTTTTATAAAGATTTAAATAGTTTCTTTTTGCATACAAATGGGCTAGTAATATTATCGTTTTGCTAAAAACGATAATATTACTAGTCTGTACATTTTGTACATTTGTTGCTTTAAAAACAATCTAAAATGTCAATATTCCATGGATATATTGATAAATGAGGTCTAAATTATAAGAAAATGCATTTTCTACAAAAAACTTGAAGGGATAGGTAAAATGGTATAATACAATTTGATAGGCAATTTAATTGTGCATCTGATTCTCCTAAAATATACAGGGCATTCCATTTAAATTAAAAGTTATTGCCGTTTGAAGCTAATAATTATTTAGAATAAATTTTGTAGACACTCTGTATAAAGGTAGTATTATTTTTATTATTGCAACACAATAACTGATCAATAAATAAACTTCATTAAATATTTAGTATTAAAAAACATTGATACCCTTGGAGAAATGAAGCTTTAAAATTTTTACTGCAATTTCACAAAATTGAAAATATTTCAAAAACGGTAAGGTTTAGTAATAAACCTTAATCAAATTACCTTTATTTTAATCGTAGAAACTAAAAATGTAATAATATACCGGGTGTTCCATTTAAAAAAAAAATACAACTTTGATATTTTTGATTTATTTGGGACACTCTGTATCTTGTAAAAATATTTTTAAATTGTAGCTCTAATAGTCCTTCAACGAACCCCAAACTTACAATTTGTAAAAATCTCATCGTTTAGCTACAATACTCCGTGTCGTATGTGGTGAACAACCCTATATATGTCAGTTGCCGTCTAAAATGTCATCTTAATAACAAAAAGTTAGTTATTGTCAAAAGTAGTTAAAATCATGTTAAAATATTAAAATTTACAAGTTATAATTAGATATTTTATATTATTTCAACAACAAACACATAAAAGTACACAGCGTAATGTTGATATGCAGGTCCAAAACAAAAAGTGCCGTTAAATTTTTCAGTTTTCGTTGTCAGCCGCGGAAGTTTCAGTGATTTTAGTGTTGTCGGATATTTTTATTTGTGAAATAGAAATATTGCGTTTGGATTGCAAAACTAAAAGTGGAAGTTTTATTGCAATGTAAGTAAGCGTTTGTCCATTTTATATTTTACTTTTTTCATACCTTTAGACTTTAGACAAATATACATATATCGAAATTTTATAATTCGTTTTATTTAAAAAATGTTAGAAAACAAGCTTGCAATCCTTTAATTGACATAATTGTTATGTAATATATTCCATTTAAATGTAATATATTACTTTACAATTAAAAAAATGTAAATTTAAAAAATATATACAGGCATTAATTAAAATTTGTTGAGTGCGAACAAACACGAGAGGCGCTTTATTATTTACTTTCATTTCTTAACATGACAGACGAAGTTCTAAAGGGGGATGTTTTGTGACAGATATTCAGGCTGAGGCGACAAACGCCATATCCAAACTACTTCCATTTAAATCCCGAATAACTTATGAAAAGAAATAGAAAAATTTTCAAAAATGGAGTGAAGTTTTTAACCTATCCTCGCTGTTAAAGTATCATTTAATCTACTCTTGCAGTTAAAGTACTATTTTATCTACAATTTTTGATAGGTATAAGGCGATTTTAACAGTTGCTATGGAAATAACAATTTTTTTTATATCTTTGAATTTTAGCCGTGCATTTGAAACCCACTTTACTTATTACATGACTTTGTGACGTCACAACAGGATTATAAAGAACGTGTCTAGTTACTACACATGGTCTATGGGTCTATACAGTAAAACGCCATCACGATCGAAAAAAAGCAGTCGAGTGGGCTTCGGTATTTGACACATTTCACGCACAAAAAGCTTTTTAAGCTAAATATTCTCCAAAAGTGTTTTTTATTAATTTTAAATCGTCCAGACCCACTCGAATATGATTCAATTCGATCCTATGGCGTTTCTTTTATAACATCTACGTAACATTTGGTCATTTTACATTTAAAAATCGGATCGCAAATTCACTTAACACTCGCGCATATCTGTTTCTGATAAACGTTTTGTTTTTGTGTGTTTTTGTTTGTTTTTTTTTTAGTCTACTTCACTTACACCCTAACATAAATCACAAAATGACGGTAGGCGCAATTTGAGAAATGCTACTCGCGAAATAAATTAAGATAACCATGCAAAATATTGATATCTTTGACGTAGGTCGTATCAAAATCGATCGTCTCCCCCAAAAATAATAAAAATTAATTTTATAAAAAAAATGTGAAATTGTTATGTATATATATTTATCACTATATAAAGCCCATGATATATATCTTGATATCTGTCGAATATATCAAGATATATATGAAATATCATGATATATGTGATGTATCACGATATTTGTAACATATCATGATATATGGAAAATATCATGATGTGTGTGACATCATGGTATATGGGATATATCATGATATATGTGAAATATCATGATATATGTGATATATCACGATATTTGTAACATATCATGATATATGGAAAATATCATGATGTGTGTGAGATCATGGTATATGGGATATATCATGATATATGTGAAATATCATGATATATGTGATATATCATGATATATGTGATATATCATGATATTTGTAACATATCATGATATATGGATATATCCCATATATCATTATCGTATATGGGATATATCATGATATATGTGATATATCATGATATATGTGATATATCATGATATTTGTAACATATCATGATATGTGGAATATATCATGTGTGTGGCATCATGGTATATGTGATATATCATGATATATGTGATACATCGTGATATATGTGATGTATCAAGATATATTCGGAATATTTAGAGAATATTAGATATTAATTTAAATGTTTGAATATAATACTATATAAAAATCATGATGTTTATATACATATCGTGATTCGTGATACATATTATATATACGCATCCCTGATTATTTTGTGACTTTTATAATTTTCAACTTTTCTATATCAGAACTTCAATTTTTGCATATCCCCATAAAAATCATGATAATATATCATGATACGCCAGTAATATCTTCGCATTCTTTACCGAACTTTGCTGAAACTAGTTTTTTAAAACTTTCGATATATTTTGAGAACATTTAGATACATATTTAACTAAATAAATATGATATTGTTTTCCATCTTTTCAATAAAAAGCATGATAATCAGTGATATATCACTGATATATCATAATATAATCTCTGATATCTTCGGAATACTTTAAAAAACGTTTGGATTTTTGAATATATATGATATTGACTTTTTATTCCATATATTATAATATATTATCATAATATTCGCTGATATATCATAATATGCATGTCTGATTTTTATGTAGGGCTTTGCTATAAACAGCTGGTATTCTTTAAAATCTAGTTTTTTTTTCAAATCTTTTCATAGTATTTTGGAACTAGATAACGCTAAATAAATATCATGATATTCATTTCCATCTTTCCAACTTATCATTCCATATAAAACAAAAGGTATCAAGGACAGATATCACTGATATATATCATAATATGATTTACTGATATCTTCAGAATATTTTAAAGAGCATTTAGATTTTTGAATATATTACCACATACATACTTTATCATGATACATATCTTGGATACATATCATGATACGTATCATGATATATCACTAATATCTTCCAATTTTAAATATGTCATTTTTAGAACTTCTGTATCATAATATACATTTATATCATCGTATATCATTAATATCATATACAAGGTGATATTGAAAGTTTAATTTACTAAAATTCCTGATAATGGCAGACGAATTCAACGATCCTGATACGACTCTACGCCCACTTGATTTAATCGGTGATAGAATATCGAGGTTAGAATATTTCGTACAGGCATATTATATACGTATAGCTAAAAGCGGATTTTTCCATATAAATAAATAACACTAAATAATAACAACTATACAGAAAAAACACCAGTACACACTGCTACATATTATACAATGCGTCTGAAACAAAACAAATATATATAACAATTATACAGTGCGACCCAAAAATAAAGTTCACTACAAAATGGAAAAAAACTGCTAGAGTTATTTGAACGACAAAAATTAATCCCTTTAACATATGTCATATGGCAATTGTCATGGCTACGACAGTCATGACAAGTGACACATGACATGTCAAAGTGTTTTTAACATTATTCCAATAACTCCCTACTAACAATGTTCTTTTTTTCTCATTTTTTTTTTTACAAACTTTACGTGATACGCTGTAATACACTGACAAGCACGAAAAAAAAACGGCTTAAAATTATCATGTATTTTTAAAGTTCAGTATATTTTGTTCTAATGTGCCGATTTTGATGATTTTTTAAGCAATTTGTAGCTAAATTATTAGACTATATTCTATTATACGAGGGAAAACAAAATTTTGCTATAATGGCACACACCGAGTGTTTCAAACTTTCTCTAAAATAAAAACATTTTGTTTTCCCTCGTATAATAGACGTATGGAGACTTTACTTTTTAATTTAAAAAGAGAATAAAAAAGACAAATAATTAAGCTACAAATTGCTTAAAAAATAATCAAAATCAGTCCACCGGAAAAATTACATAAAAATAATACATAAAAATTTTAAGTTGGCTGTTCGTTGTGTCGATCAGTGTATATACCATGTACCTTCCAGACTACATTTGATAAAAAGTGATTAAATATAAATAAAATTATTTAAAATCGATCGTTAAAAAATATAATTGAACTAAAATGTGTAAATAAATGTACTAGTTCTGAAAAAAACTGTCAGAAAATAGTTTTAATTTGATTTAAAATACTAAATTGCCACTCTGTCTTTTAATATTAATATAATATTAAGATTACAGTATACTGACAGCGACAAAATTGATGTTATTGATAAAATATTTGGCATTAAAAAAATTTTAAAATTCTAAAAACTCTCGTATTTTTCACCGAAATTCAAAAAGTACTAAAAAATTTGAAAATAAATTAAAAGAACGCCTATTCTCAAAAAACGCTTACCTTTTTTGATAATAGTAATCAATTAAAATTATACACCTAAAAGTAAAACGAAGACCTTATTATTATCATCATATTTGTACAAAGAAAATTCTAATAATAACATTAATAATAAAAACAAAAATAATAATAAGCTTGAAAATTACATTTTAAATGGCCGTTACGATTAAAAAGTATAAAATTTTGTGAGTATTTTCCGTTTTCTAAAAAAATATTTTAAATATTCCTTCAAATCAAATATACTATAATATGTCAATAGGAGGAAATTTTATAATACCATATAATCAAAAAAGTTTAATATTAGCACCAATTTTTTTTATATAACATACTTGTATACAATGAAAATGAAATTCAAGAAAATTGTAATTTCTCGTAAATTATAAATAAAAATACAGAATCATATAAATTTTAAAAAAAGAGTTTGGTTTGGAATTACATTCCTTTTTTTCACACACTGTATATCATAGAAAACTAAATCTCATACAAAATTTAGAAAAATCAGATCAATCTACGAAAAACGAAGTTCATAGAAACATGAATCACCTCTATACAGGGTATATCAAGCAGATCACGAAATATTGGGACACCCTGTATAAACAAATAACTTTGTAGGAAAAAGCCAAATCGCAAAACTATACATCCTGTATATAATCACGGTCCGATACTCACTAGCCGTTCTACTCTTATTAAAAACTCTTTGATCATATGGTACTACAATTTTTTAATTTCATTTTTGATTTTCGAAAATATATTATTTCATGCTTTTTTCTTCCTTTTTTCCAAGAAGAACCTTAAGGCAAGATTTATTTTTAAAATGTATAAAAGCAAAACTGAGATCACAAAATAATAATTAATTAACTAATTAAACAAAACAATTAGTTTGTACTTTTCGTTTAAAAAAAGAAATTAATAATTATAATAATTGATAAAAAATTCTGACGAATAATTGATGTGTCGTCACTTTTTTCTGTACAAGTTTTTTTTTCGTTTAAATAAAATTAACAAAAATAAAATAAAATTAATAATAATCAGCAAAGCAGCGATTTTAACCAGTGAATTCATAATGAATGTAATTGAGTCATATTTTTTTCCACTAAACATTTTTTTTTCTTATAAATTAAATATAAAATTTTTTTAAAAATAAAAACACCGGGTATATTTTGGTTCTGATCCATAAAAAAAACATCCAGAAGAAAAAAAAATGACTCAAAAAGCAAAAAATATGAAAATGAAACATATATATCATGCAATTCTTTTTATTTACACCTTATCCATTACTCTGATTCGTTTGGCCAAATTTTGATCATAGGTATGTTGACTCCCCTGGAAAATGTACAAGTCAGTCAAAAAAACAATAAACCAAAAAAAAAGGAAATAAGCAAAATTAAATGGAAAATAAATGAGAAAAAAATCTTTTGTAAAAATGATTTTTCGAAATTTCAGCTAAATTCGTGTTTAAGTAAATTTTTCAAAAAAATACTGCTTTTTATAAGCATTGTTCTTTTTTACTTTGTTTATGTTTGTTAAGCTTTTTGGATTAGTTACATTCTTTTATTTATTTTATATTTTTTATTTATAGTTATAAACAAATAATTATCATAATTATGGTAACTACCTGTTCATAACAAATAACTACCACAATAATTTATAGTAATTACTTGTAATAAACAAATAATTATCATAATTATGGTAATTACCTGTTCATAACCAATAATAACACAATAATTTATGGTAATTACTTGTGATTAGCAAATAATGATTATATTTTTGGTAATTACTAGCTCATAACAAATAATTACCACAATAATTTATGGTAATACTTGTAATAAACAAATAATTGTCATAATTATGGTAACTACCTCTTCATAAAAAATAATTACCACAATAATTTATGGCAATTACTTGTTATAAACAAATAATTGTCATAGTTATCGTAAATACCTGTGCATAACAAATAATTACCACAATAATTTATAGTAATTACTTGTGATAAACAAATAATTGACATAATTATGGTAATTACCTGTTCATAACAAATAATTACCACAATAATTTATGGTAATTACTTGTAATAAACAAATAATTATCATAATTATGGTAATTACCTGTTCATAACCAATAATTACCACAATAATTTATGGTAATTATTTGTAATAAACAACTAATTATCATAATTATGGTAATTACCTGTTCATAACCAATAATAACACAATAATTTATGGTAATTACTTGTGATTAGCAAATAATGATTATATTTATGGTAATTACTGGCTCATAACAAATAATTACCACAATAATTTATGGTAATACTTGTAATAAACAATAATTGTCATAATTATGGTAACTACCTGTTCATAAAAAATAATTACCACAATAATGTATGGTAATTACTTGTTATAAACAAATAATTGTCATAGTTATCGTAATTACCTGTGCATAACAAATAATTAGCACAATAATTTATAGTAATTACTTGTGATAAACAAATAATTGCCATAATTATGGTAATTACCTATTCATAACAAACAATTACCACAATAATTTATGGTAATTACTTCTAATAAACAAATAATTATCATTATTAAGATAATTACTTGTTGATTACAAATAATTATCACCGTAATTTATGGTAATACATTACTTATTATAAGTAATTACCATAAATTATTATGGTAATTAATATTTAATACCATAAAACTTGCTAAAAAAATAAAAAAAAATTAAAAGTGTAAAATAAAAATAACGTTGCATCAAACGTTATTTTTGGACATCAAAACGATTTTAACCGAAATTTCTGCAAGACTTTTACCTTTTTCCGTCTCCTTTCACATTATTTTCACATAAAAAAAAGCAGTGTTAGTGGTTAGTTGAGAAAAAATATGAAAATAAAAATAAATGAAATTCACAAAACAGTTGTTATTCAGTTAATTTGGTTTTATTCCATTATAATAGAAAATACTATACACTACGAGGATATTTTGTTACTTTTGTTTCTTTATTTATTTCTGCCTATAATACATATATAGTTATAAATGTAATGTCGGAAGAAAATGTACAGGGTGTTAGGAGATGGTAAGAAATTAAGTAGATTTTTTTTGCTTTACAACAAAAATGAAACTGATTGTCCTATAATATACAATTTTTCCCAATGAGGTAGATCCAAAAATTTGCCTCCAAAAAACATTTTTTTTATATATATTTATAACACACCTTGTATATTTTTTCTGTTTTTTTTTACCAGGACTAAAACCTTAATATTATATTTTGTACTCATCTCCACATAATACCAATTTCGCTTTCTGTATTTTTGTTAGATTTTAATATAAAAACATTATCAAAAAATTCGAAACTATATTTTATTATACAATTTTCAATCATAATTTTATTTCTACTTTTTTTTACGAATATTTTTATTCTCTTGTTAAAAAATATCCATGTTTTTGTTGCTTCCTAATTCGTATACAGAGTGTCTCAAGTTTCTAACCATTTTCTAGTATATTTTAATAAATAATAATATTTTAAATCATTTTCAGAGCTCTTCAAAACACTCTGTATAGTTTATTTTTAAATTCACGCTGGAATCGATAAAAACATGGATAATTTAATTTTGAAAATACAAATTTTTACTTGAATCTTATGAGATTTCCTGTACGAAAAATTGGATTTGTATACAGGGTGCGCCAAAAAGTTTGCAACACGTGGCATTTTTTTTATTATTGCCTTATCGAAAAAAGTTTATGCAGTATTTCGTCAGCATGTTCAATAAAAAAAACCATTTGACATATGTCATATGACAACTCATTTTTTCGTTATTATGACACATAACCCTACTTTTTGCATTTGTAAGGAGATGATTTTTGTCATTTCTACCGTGACAAATTTTTTTTTAATAACTTGATAAAAAAAAGTTCAAATCCATTTTTGTGGACTTTTTGGTACACCCTGTAGGTATTATTTTAAAATGTCACTATCG